CGCTGGGGCGGCCGCGAGCTGGGCTGCGCCAGACGAGGGTCCGCGGGGGCTGCGAGGGGGGCCGGCCACAGCGACCCGTGTGCCCGCAGGGTGTGAGGGCAAGGTGGGCATGGCCGCTGTGCAGCTGGCCCCCGGCCGGGCCTTCGACGGGCAGAGGCTGTACCAGCACGCGCGCGCGTGGCTCCCCGCCTACGCCGTCCCTCACTTCGTCCGCGTGCAGGTGAGCGGGGCGGCGCGCGGGGGAGGTGCGGGCCGCGGGCGGCACAGGCGGACTCACAGCCCCTGCCCTGCAGGACACCCTGGAGGTCACGGGCACCTTCAAGCTGGTGAAGTCCCGGCTGGTGCGCGAAGGCTTCGACGTGGGCGCCATTGCGGACTCGCTGTTTGTGCTGGACAACCAGGCCCGGGCCTTCCGGCCCCTGACCCAGGAGACGTACCGGGCCGTGTGTGAGGGCACCTGGAAGCTCTGACATCTGGCCGGCTAACAGGACACCTGAAGGGCGGGGCCGAGTGCTGACCGCTGTCAAAAAATAATAAATGTCTCAAGCCTTTTGAATGTTAAAACAGGGCCTAGTCAACCTTATGCCCCAAAGAACTGTTTACAAGGATAACAAGCAGTTACGATGACTGCAGGACTGAAAAAAACAATCGCATCGCCTTCCGTCTATGGATGTAATTGTTCCCTGTCCCTTTCTCATGGATACCCCTTGCCTTTGTCTCCTAATCAGAACACTATCTGGGCCTCTGTCTGAATCAGTGATTCTTTTAAGCCCCCCCCCCAATTCCAAATAAACTCTAGTTTCCTCTAGCTTTGGAAGGCTTCTTTTTTTTTTTTTTTAAATGTTTTTATTGATTTCAGAGACCCTACAACCCGGGCATGTGTCCTGAATACAACCAGCGGCCTTTAGGTGCATGGGACGGTGCTCAACGACTGAGCCACACCAGCTGGGCATTTTTAAAGTTTCCAACACCACCACCCGCACTTGCAGTGTCAACATCTCCTCCCTGGACCTTCACGGGGTCCTCTCCAGCCGCTCACGGGTCCTCGGGCCGGTGGCTCTTCCTGTGGATGACCAGCTGGGACTTCCAGTCGAAGCCGCGGCCGCAGTCGCTGCAGAAGTGGCGCTGCTGGCCAGCGTGGCTCTTGCGGTGGATGACCAGCTGCGACTTCCAGCTGAAGCTGCGCCCGCACTCCTCGCACGCGTAGTTCTTCCGAGCTGCCGGGGGCGCGTGCCGGGGGTGGCGCGGTGCGCCCGGCTCCCGGGGACCCTGC